ATAAAATTAAGAATTAAAATTATTATATATACATAAACTAATTATCAAATTGTACAAAACTTCATGCCCAAATTACTAAACTTAAACAACAACTCATTGAGAAAACACATTTGGCCGGCGCGCATAATCAAAATATAAACGATGATGATGCAAATAGGTTGGCCAACGCTGAACGAACAATCAACTCGTTAAAAGAACAAATTGAAAAATACAAAATTTCTAAAGATGAACTTGAAAATAAACTTTTGGAACTTAACAAAAAATTATCTGATGTTGATGATGAGCAACATGCAAATATTCAAACTTTTGAGAAATTAATTGCACAAGCTGAAAAAACCATTGCGAATCTTAAAAATAAGATTGACAAAATGCAGAAAGAGCATTCTCAAGATATTCGAAATAAGGTTGACAAAATGCAGAAAGAGCATCAGAACATCATTGGTATGTTTAATAAACAAAAAGATGAAGAAATTGCTCAAGTTACCAGAACAATGGAGATGCGCTTAGAGTCGTTTATGAAACGTCAAAAAGATGTGGCGGCTGGTGATAAAGATGGTTCTAATTCAAAGAGAGTAATAATATTGGAACAAGAAATATCTCAATTAGAAAATTCATTAAAATATTCACAAACTGAGTGTACACGGTTGAATGAATCACTTAAACAAGTTCAAATGAAATACTTAAATGCGGTTAGTGACAAAGATCAGTCGACAAATGCTAAACGTGAAGTTGAAAAAAAGATTAAGGCCATAGAGACTGAACTACGAATGGTAATTAATGCTTTGATCTCTTTTTTTTTTTTTTTTTGAACAATCTATTATAACCCAATCTTGACAATTTTAGGTCAAAGAAGAATCAAGAAGGAAAGACTCTCAACTGCAAGAAGTAAGTAATTCATTTTTCATACGATAGTTTTTAATAATAGAATATTTATTTTGCTAAAAATTTTCTTCTAGGTTTTGGCAAAAAATATGGAATTAATTACTCAAATGGCAAAATAAGGGTGAAAGCGTAGTCTTTATACATTCTTGTATAAGTAATTTTTTTTTTTTCTTTATAATCGACTATATACACATTATAATATTTTAATTCTTTTTTTTGTAATTTTATTTGTAAAAAAATTAGTTTTGTACAATTTGATAATTAGTTTATGTATATATAATAATTTTAATTCTTAATTTTATTCTTTTTAGTGGTTTGGAAGATAATAAATTGAGATGATTTCTTATATATGCATCCAATAAAACTCTAGAGTTTATATAAACATTAATAATAATAATAATAATAATAATAATAATAACGATAATAATAATAATATTTAACGTTAATTTTACATTAAGGCAATACAAAATTTTTTGGTTTTAATAACATGAAACTTTTAAAAGTAGACCCGACTTCTTTTTAAAATGTTATAACTTGCATAACGATAAATTTTTATTAAAAATTTAAAAATTTACCGTTATTCATTATTTATTTGATCGCACTATAATATCACGTGTAAACGCCTCCAAAGATATCTACGTATCTCTTTAGAGATTGATGGTGTTTTAACCCGTGCCCCAACCCTAATCATGGGTATTTGACCGAAATGAAATTCCAAGTCAATACGAAA